CATTATCTGATACTCAGTATTTTGCTCTCCTGCTTGGAAATTGAAACTTGGTTCCTTATGTGAGTGTGAGGGAGATGATAAAGCTCATGATGATCTCTTTTCAGCTGTAGATCTCAAAGTGCTTCTCCAGTGAGGTCAGCTTCCTTATCCTCTATGTACAGAGAAACTGATGCAAGAGATGTGAAGTGACTTGCCCATGGTCACCTTGCACAGCAGTGGCAGGATTTGAACACTGCTCTTCTGAAGCCTAGTTTCATGCATAATCCATGCTGCTGAAAGGAGTAGCTATGAGCATTACAGGTCAGCCTTACATGGGCAGAAACTCAAAGCACAGAGGAACCTGATTCTTCAACCCCGAGGCTGGCTCTCCAGTAAGTTCCGTTGTTCCCAGCTGTGCAAAGTGGGGAAAAGACAAGTGCTGTGAGGGTTTGGGAGGAATGCCTGGTCTCAGCCGAGAGTCAGAAAGGGCTTGCTGCCTTCCAGATGGCACAACTGGGCTCGGGAAATGGACTAATGCAAACCAGCTCTGAGCAGAGTGGTGGCTCCCAGCGGAAAACCTCTGACAGATCTGGTTTGACGTCTGTAGCATTCCTTTTGGTTTGGATTTAATACTCCAGAAAGGGTGGGAATTGGGCACTCTTTAGCCAGTGGGCAATTGTTGGAGACACTGTAACAAGGGGAGTAGTACCCACAAAGGGGCACCCAGGAGGTGTTTACTGCTTAGAGAAGTGGTCTCCAATCTTTTTAACCACGAGATCATTTTTTCAATTGCAGTGCAATGTAAGATCTACCCCAAACCTAAATCCCCTGGCCCGGCTTCCTTTCCCCCTTCTCTGAGGCCCTGCCCCTGCTCCACCCCTTTTCTGGGGCCTCACCCTGCTCACTTCATCCCCCTTGCTGGAGGAGTGACAGCAGTTCGAATTAGGAGCTTTAGTCAGGGGATGAGAGGGAAGGACAGTGTGTGATTGTGCGAATGACAGAGACACACACACTGTGTGTGTGACAGAGATTTGCATTGCCAAGCGCCCGCCCTCTCCTTCTCTGTGTGTGGAGACAGGGTACAGGAGTAGGGGGAGGAGGATCACCCTGACATCAGCCCCCCCTTCTCCCTCCCACACCCTGCACAGCGAGCAGGAGGCTCCCAAGGGGCAGCTCCAAGGCAGAGGGCAGGAGCAGCATGACAGTGGGTGGAGGGACAACTGAAGTGCCAGCGCTTGCTAGCTTCCCGGCCAAACCAGTCAGGATCACTTGTCAGAGGCTCCAAGATCTACTGGTAGATTCCAATCTACTGGATGGTGACCACAGACTTAGAGGATTAAATTGGGACTCAGGAGAAGTGGAGTTAGTTCCCTGCTCTGCCACAGACTGCCTGTGTGGCCTTGAGTGAATCATTTAGTCTATCTGTGCCTCAGTTCCCCATCTGAACAGGGGGAATGATGGCATTGCCCATCCTCATAGGGTGTGGTGAAGATAAATATATGTTAAGATTGTGAGATGCTCCAATGCTACAGTGATGGGAGCCATGGTAGATAGAAACATTTAGATGCATAGAAATGTCAGCTTGAAAGGTACTTTGAAAGGTGCTAAGGCAGAGCCAAATAAAGCCAAATAAAGCTAGAATAGCCTTGACAGGTATTTGCCTGAGCTGTGCTTAAAAACCTTCACAGCCTCTTCTGGAACCCTGTGGCCACCTTAGTAGTTACAAAGTCTGACACAACAGTTTTTCATCAGAAAATACAGTCAAGTTGAAACAAACATTTTGCAGCAACATGTCAATTTTGACAAAATTTTCAATGCGGGAAAATCTAGATGAACCATTTTAACTTTTCAGTTGAATAATTTAATATATTTTGATTTAATAAGGTTAAATGTTTTGGCATTTCAATTCATTTTGACTATTATATTCTATCAAAATATTAATTGCTATCTATCTATAAATTGTTTTATATGATTGTGTTTTAACATTAGAGAAATGAAACTTTTTGATGCTTCCACATTAGATTTCTATTCTAAGATAATTTGTGAAATTTTGACTTTTTGTTCCAATTTGGAATGAAAACAACAATATGGGTTTACAAGCAACAGTTCTCATTGGTGGGTCTGGAAATAGTTCTCTTGGATTTGGGGTTCTACAGATTTTTTTCCACATTGATTAAAATGTGGAATAAGTCTAGGCTAGCTGTATCCCTTTAGGGCCTGATCCAAGCCCCATGGAAATCAAGGGGAAGACTTTTGACCAAATTACATAGGTTTTATATCAGGCCAATTGGATTGGTGCTCAGCACCTAAAGTCAGGGCCAGGGCTTGGTGTGTGGGGTGCTGAGTGTGCTGGAAGGTAATTGTTATTTACTATTGGGCTTACAAGCCCCAGTCATGTCCCAGCCCCCATTGTGCCAGATAGAGTGTGAGCACAGAACCTAAAGGCAATCCCTGCTCCATTTCTTGCTGCCGGCCCCTTTCCTGTTTCTATTTTTCCCAGTTCTCCTTTTATCTTCTGTTCCTTTCCTTCCTCCTTTAGTTATTTCCATTTACCCACTTTCTGTTTCTCTCACTCACTCCACATCTTTCCCTCAAGGTCTCTCCTGCCTCTTCCTTGCTTCTGAACCCTGGACCAGACCCTCCATGCAGCGGAGCTGTGACCAGAGCCAAATCTGGGGTAGTGGGAGGGGAGAGGTAGCTTTAAGTCACCCTTTTCCTCAGCTAGACCTCAAGCCTAGGGGTTGCTCTAAGTTACTCAATAGAGGGTAGAGCAGAGTGAATAACTGATTTCTTGGCTCAGAGACTGAATTGAAAAACTGGTTTGGTTCAAACTGAAACTGGATTTTATTTCAGTTTTTTGTTTTGTTTGGAGTTGGGTTCAGGTGTTTTTCACCCTTTTCTAAAATTAGCTCTGTGTTTAGACAGAACAATTTTAAAATGAAAAGTTTAAATGTTTCCATTCAAAATGCCGACAGTGAAATGTTTTTAAATGAATCGGTTGAGCTGCCACCTCTGAGGTAGAAATCTGAAGTCATCTGGGACAGTCCTGAGCCCATAAAACTGGGCAGTGTGCTCTGAGTTCCCTTAGGATACGTCTACACTAGCCCCCTAGTTCAAACTATGGAGGCAAATGAGGGCGACCAAAATTGCTAATGAAGCGCGGGATTTAAATATCCTGCGCTTGATTAGCATATTCCCGTCCGGTCGCCATTTTGGAAAGTAACTGCCCGCGTCCGAGATAAACCCCTTAGTTCGACTTAACAGTTAAACCTCATGGAACTGTTAATATCTCAGAATTGCGCTTCTCTGCTGCATGTAGACGCGGGCAGTTATTTCGGGCTAGTCAGTTTCCAAAATGGCGACCGGACGGGAATATGCTAATCAAGCGCAGGATATTTAAATCCCGCGCTTCATTAGCAATTTTGGTCGCCCTCATTAGCCTTCCTAGTTCAAACTAGGGGGCTAGTGTAGATGTACCCTTACAGATTTCCCAAGGCAGCCACCTCAAAAATGGGATGATATGGTAAGAATTGTGCCAGTGGAGTTATTCCTAATTTACTCCAGGGAGACAGGATCTGGGCCAGTGGTGTGGCTCCTGATTTACACTGGGATGAATGAGAGCAGTGTGTGTATGTGTGTGGCTGTGTGGTAGTAATTCCTCAGCTATTCAGGTACTCTTGCTCCAGAATTAACGCTCCAATGTAATGCCATTGCTTTTGGCGTCAAAGCATAAAGGAAGTGATGCTGGTACGAGGCACACGCTGGTGAATCAGATGTGACAGATCTGTTAGAGGGCACATTATCTCTCTTGCCAGCAAGTTAAATTGAAACAGCGCTCGCATGGAGATCAGTTTGACAGACATAACTGGTCCATGTTAAGGTGCATCATGTGGCTGGCGTGATTGCTGCTACTTCTGGATCAAGGAAACGATGTTATAAGTGAAAATTCAGCAAACCAGCCAGCACAAAACAGCAGTTTCTCAGCATACCAGGCTACATTTACCCAGCCCCTGGGAAGACATGCAGGGTAGGAAAAGAACAACAAATAGTCCTGTAACACCGCAGTGGTCTCCAACCTTTTTACACCCAAGATCACTTTTTAAGTCTCAGAACAGGCGAAGATCTACTGCCCCGCCCCTTCCTTGAAGCCCCGCCTACATTACATGAGGAAATCTAATGTAAATGTCCTGCGCAGGCGCGCAGTTCAGAGGGGGCTCAAGAGCTACTCTTGGAGCCCCTGAGATCTACCGGTAGATCGCGATCGACTGGTTGGTGACCACGGCCTTAGGGTCAGTCTACACTTGAACTAGGGTGGCTAATGTAGTCATTTCGAACTTGCAAATGAAGCCCAGGATTTAAATATCCCGGGCTTCATTTGCATGTTCCCGGGTGCCGCCATTTTTAAATGTCGCTGATTGTGGTGCCCCTGCCTGCACAGCCATCAATGGCCATGATGTCATCACAGGGCGCCCCGGTGCCTCGTGACATCATCATCGGGCACCTGGGCCAGCGGCGCCCTAGGCAGCTGCCTTGCTTGCCTAGGCTCACAGGCTGCCCCTGCCCGGTAGTTCTAACTACCTGCTCGCGGCTACACACGGCACGGGCTAGGTAGTTCAAATTAAAGCTCTGAACTCGAACTACTGTTACTGCAATGAGGCAGTAGTTCGAACTACCGGGCATTTTAAAATGGCGGTGCCCGGGAACATGCAAATGAAGCCCGGGATATTTAAATCCTGGGTTTCATCTGCAAGTTCGAATGACTACATTAGCCACCCTAGTTCGAACTAGGATGGCTAGTGTAGACATACCCTTAGAGACGAACAAATCTATTCTCGCTCTCACTCTCTATGAGCTTTTGTGGGCAAAACTCACATGAGATGAGATTGGA